TTAAGTAAGTAGCCCTTTCTCTTGTAAGTCTGCCCATTTCAGTATTTCAAATGTGTACTAGAATGAATTGTAATTTTAGACAAACCATAGCTTGGATGAAATATAAAATCAGAGTCCTGCTTGATCTTGACCAATCTGTCCATCACAATTGTTTTGACTCTTTTTTTGAACATGCAGTGGATCCTCCTGTCATGAAGATATTTTAGTCCAGGTAACTGAAGTCCATCAGCTTAAATTCCTTCTGTGTATCTGTTTCTTTAATTTTCTTCTTCTGGCATGGGGAAGAGAATAAATTCATTTAAACATCTGTATTAAATTCAATAAATTTTAGATACTCGGGATTTGGTGTCTGGGAATAATACATCATTAAAGCATTCGAAAATCATAGCATTTGGTCTAGTTTATTTTTAGAATGGGGAAGTGCTCAGGATGGCTATCCAGAGACTATGGGTGTCAGTTACATCATTTCCTTCTTTAGTGAGTGTTCACAGAAATACGACTTCAGGACCATGATACATAAGTAATTTTATCCTATAATTATTAAGAGAAGATGGGTACTAGCATCAATGCACAGTGCCTGTGCAGCTGGAGGCAAGCCAGGCACCATATCTGTTTCTGTAATACCATTTATGTGGATATTTTTGGTTGTTATTACTGGAAAAAATAATGCTTTTGTACCTAGACCAGAAGATAATGGCAATCAAGCCATATGTCACTGGTGGAATCTGGGCTGTTTCACCCGTGTGAAATTAAGCAGTGATTATCCCTGTGTGGTGTTGGCTCTGGTGCTCATTCAAGATCTTTTCACTATTGAAAAAGACTTTGGAAAAGTTGGCTCAACAACATACAGAAGTACACTCCACAGTGCTGTCAGGGTGTGAAGTAAATGGTACTGCTATGATTGTTGTAGCAGGTGAGGAGTCAGAGAGTGCCTTTTTACTACATGAATTCACAAGCGTTTCAGTACAACTAAATGTAATTCATTACTCACTTGAGATAGAGAATATAAAAAGCATTATAGAAATCCAAGCCAGCATAATTCGATCTTGGCACAGATTGCTAGGTTGGTCTGTTTCCAAAAAGAACAGACAAGTTAAATTGAGAAGAGGCAGCACTATGGTTATTAAATTAGCTTTAAATCGGCCCTACTCATTTACAAATCTCTGCTAGTGCTCGCAGGGACAAATTTGCTAATCCCAACATTGCTGCTTCTGTCTGCCTGTGGCAGAAAACTGAGCAGTCATTCCACGCCTTCTAGAGATAAACTGCTAACTAAACCAGCTGCCACTTCCTGTCACAAATGCAATACTAAGCATTGCAGGCTAGCTTTGCCAAATCCAGAGTACTGGCTCTACAAAGGACGGAGTCGGTGTCCACGTTGCATAGTCTTAAGGTTTGTAAGAACATTCAGAATTGATAGAGGCATCATGGGTTTTATACTGTCATGCTTGGTGTCACCAGGGAATGGACTAGTTTATCTCTGCAGCTGGTGTATTGATGGGGATGGGCTATTACTTGCATCTCTGATTCATGGGAGTTGGCATAGTACAGTATTGCATTTTATACAGGATTTTGCTGTAATGCCATAGAAGGAAGAATGGCATTTACTGCATCAACAGAAAAACATCACCATAAATATTGAAGTGCTTCACTGAAAAGTTTTGCAGTAATTTTGATACTGTCACAGCTACTTACATTTAGTTACATTTTGGATGCGTAAACTTTCTGCTAACACTTTTCTGTTAACATCTGTTAAAATGTTTCCATCAGATCATGCACTTTGCTGCACTGAGAGCACAAGAGAATTGGTGCTGTGGGAACAGTGACGTTCATACGCTCGCTGTGTTTCTCTGCTTCAGGGTTTTCTCGACTTGCAGTCTCATCTCACGTAAATGACCTTGCAGCTGTCAAGGAGAAGTTTTCCCCTGGAGTGTTTCAGACAGCTATCAGGAGTGGCTTTCTGAGTACTGCCGGTTTCTGAAGAGAAAAGAGAGGCCAACGTGACATAGCTTACCCTGCCTCCACCTGCAGCTCAACATCTGCGTGATGTTAATTTTGAAGGACATGTAGCTATGCTCACCCCAACCGTGCAGGGGTTTCCAGGGGGAAGAAGGAACACCTCTTCATTCTGCCAGCCCCAGCAAAAAGGGTAGTTTCCCTTGGCGTAGAGAACCTGCAAATGCCACACATTTTTATGGGATTCCCCCATATTTCAAGAGAAGTCCCAAGATTTGTGGGATTCCCCAGCTCTTTCTTAGTCTGTGACTTCAATAGGAAGGTGGCTACTTATGTCATCTGCTTACTTTATGGTTTTTTAAAAGATTTTGAAAGCTAACATTCATGACATTTCCAAGGAGCATCTGACCTAGATTAACATTGTGTTGACACATCTCTGGTTTTGAAGAGTGGACATTTATGGTTTCAATGGTATGTCTGACTTACTAAAAGTTGAGATTGTTGCAAAACCATTAGCCTAACAGTATCTGCTCTAGGAAGGGAGGGTTCTCAGTGTAGTCAATGTCACAAACTTTCTGCAGAAAACGTACACACTTTAGTGAAACCGCTACACAGGAAAAATGCCTGCATGAAACACTTGTACCTCATAAATGTCAGTGCATGTATTTTTTCACTTTTACTTTGAGTTTTCTTGTAAGAGGTTGCTATAAGGTTTCCTACTGAAGGTAACAGTTACCCTACTACAAGTTTGCTTTCTGCTAAATTTGGACTGAGTGAACTTTGTTCGGATCTGTGCATTGTTCCCAAAATGAGTGGGTTCTAAGGTAATGTGTCTGGGTTAATATGAGGTCTCGTGTCCTAGTAGGGTGCCTTGTCTTACCTGAACATCACACACTGGTACACAGTCCTGTCACAGAATCTAAATTAAACTTCAAAGCTGTTGTTTCGCATTTGGGCCTTTTGTGTTTTACAGTGGCCTTCCTCTAGATAAGTTTCTTTTTTTCTGTTAAACAGTCCCATGTTTTATTTCTAATTCAATCTCCCTTTCATAACTCTAAGGCAAGATGGACAACTGTCCTTGTACATCTCCAGGTTCATCTAGGAAGGAATCTAGCACAGTATCTGTGTGTCAGAATCCCTTTTTATTTTATTCATACAGACAGATCTTTCAGTGGTTTCCTGGGATTTGGTAGTTAAAGATATACCATATTTAGGTAGGTCAGGTATTGCTTCTCTTTACTCCCCCCCCCTCACATCCCACAGCAACATTCATGAACCAGTTTCCTTGGGAAAGAGCTTTCAAAAAAGTTCTATTTATTACAGTTATGTGTTGATCTTGTCTATCTTTTACAAGTCTTTTATGTCTCAGCATCAGTAGCTAGTGCTTTTGGCTTGTGAATGTTGAATACTAATGGCTTTTAGAAGTTTATTAACTCTTAAGCTGGCAAATGGGACTAAGAGAGTTAATAGACTGAGAAGAGAGCTAATACACTGAACTGTTGAAGGAACAGCTCCAACTTTTTAAATTGCATCTCCATCCTTGGAGGTTTTCAAGACTCATCTGGACAAGTTCCCAAGCAGCCTGATCCAACTTGCCCTGCTTTGAGCAGGGGGGTGGAGTAGATGACCTGTGGAGGTCCTGAGCTATTCTGTGATTCTATCATAAGCTGTTCAGCAATTTAGTAACTTTTTAGGAACATGTGTATCCCAGTGTTTTAATCTATTTTGTGTGGCCATGTAACTGATACTTAATTAAACTTTTCATAGATGCATTTGATACCAAAGGGAGTCTTTAACTTAATATAGAAGGGAAATAGTGTTCACAAGGGCTGGGGAGAAATCTTGAGATGACTGTAATTACTGGAAGAACAGGAACTCTCTAGAATGAAGTCAAAAGAGGGAGCAACTTGTATATTTGGACCATTATTTGTATAATGGACCATATGTGAATTTTATATATGTATAAAAAAATATGATGGAGAATTATGAGATGTCCATTGGAGAAATTTGTTTGATGGAGATGTGAAAGCTTTCTTTTCCAATACACCATGGTTTTGGTTTAGGGAAGAGGGAGGCAGGGAAACTTTTTATTATTCTGGCACAGTGCAAGAACAGTGGGTAAAATAAAACTTACTTAGTGTCCACCATTGCATCAGACTGAAAAAGTGTTCTGCAGAAGTGTTTCTGCATTTGCTTTCCACTAGTGTCCTTCTTCTCTCTCTGCTTTTTCATCCCTTCTAGCAGTCTCTTGCCCTTTCTCATTTACTCTTTCTGATGCTAAAGTCTTTGAATTAAGCAAATGTTGTCACTCTAACACATGACTTGTTATTTGTTTAATGTATTCTAGCATGTCAGATGGGCTTCTCTTTTTCTATTTTGGGGTTGTATTTCAAGACAGTGTGTCTTTACTTTTGTTTGCCTGTTCCTGTGGTGGTTTCTTACGTTCCACTGTCTCAGGCAATAATAGTACTATTATGGTGATACTAATCCTGTTTCTAACAAGAGAAACCATGGGGATGGGTCCCAAATAGTTTATTCCAGGAGAATAACCTTGGATTGTTACGAAGTAAAACAATGTGGTGGCACTCTCAAGCTACCAGCAGTTCAAGAGGTGGGACTGTGTAAGACAGTGAAGAAACTAGTAGGTTACTTATTCTAAAACATACTAGCTCAAAGTCATATCTGTGTTCAGTTCAAACTGTGTCCATCTGTCTGTTTGCCTACGTGTATTTACAGAGAAAGAGAGAGGGTGTTCCTGAGAACGACAGGTAAGTTAATGTGGTGGGTTTGGTCTCTGTAATGAGCTGACAGATTGCTCTTGAGTTATCAGATGGAGAGTGACTGCTACAACTGCCCAGCTTCCTCGCTTCCACTGTTCTTGCATGACCTTAGCTGGGACAAGCTGGGAAGAATGGAGAGGGGGGAGGAGGTTATTTGTACTTCGGTGTAAAAAAGGGAAAATGCAGCAGATCTCAGTTTATGAAGGGGGAGGAAGGCAAATTTGAGCATAGAGAGATTACCTGATTTTTTCTTTGTTTCTACAGCAGGAAAAACCCAAGCTCTTGGAGCCTTTGGATTATGAAGCTGTTATCACAGAGATTGAGAAAAATATTGGGGATAACCAGTTTAAGGATCTGATATTATTCCCCGACGATGACTTTTCAGTAAGTATAAGGCAAATACGTGTTATTCTTTCTCTTAGGTTTGTCTGTTCATTTATTTATTTTATCTTCATTGCTAGAGGGAGAGCTGGAAGTTGCCCAAGGGCTCTCTAAGATTTTCTTAATTTATGCGTAATGCCTTACTTCCCTCCCACCCAATTCACTCTGTTTTTTTGCTGACATTTGTATATGAGTGAATTTACTCTTCAGGATTAGATAAAGCTCGAAGCCCTGGCTGTTCTCAAATATTTTTCAGGAACTCAGAAAACATGTTATTCCATAACATACACTTGTCTGCTTGCGCAGCACAGTGGTAGTTTGGCCAGTGCTGAATTTATCCCTACTGTTATAATCTAATTTAATCACACTTCCATAGCTTACATCCAGTCTTTCTGATCCTATTCTGTTTAACGTATTTGGCCACTAGAATCAGACAGCCCATGATTTCCAGCCTTCTGCTCAAAGTCAGACTTTTTAGGTGGTGGCTGTGACATATTTCCAAGCTGTGCCGTTGCTGACATTAGATTGCACAAGAAAGATAAATCCAAACGGACTTGATTTTTGTTTGGTTTTGGGGATGTCTTAAATTCTTTTCCAGTGGGGTTTGAGATCTGGCATCCTGAGTTGATGGGGGGGTGCCGAGTCCCCAGTGCTGGGGCAGGCTCCCATGGTGGGATGCTGACAGGCAGTGGGTACCGGAGCCCGCAGCCGTGGAGCTGCCTGACCTCATCCCAGGTTCCCCATTGCTTGTCCTGGCAAGCTGCAAAGAAATTGAGAACCTGGAAGTCCAGGGCAGCCCTCACCGCGGCAGTGATGGGGCAGCTCACGAGGGCAGGGGTTGCCTGCTGGGCAGCTGGGGAGGTGTGCTGCCAGGCAAGTGAACTGGCAGATTGCCTGCGTCTTACAGCAACTTCCTCAAAATCAACTGATCTCTGTAAAAGATTTAGATTTTGATGAATAGGCATTCTGTAATGGAAATACATTTCAATTTGTGACCAATTGTAACTGCTGTGTGAGGGCCCTTCCCATCAGCTTATGGCATTGCTGCTGTCCTGTGGGGCTGGCTTAATCTAATCGACTGCTTTGTTTTACTAAATGGCTCTATTTCCTTGGTGGCATTAACTGAGTTAATGTGCTCATGGGATTGAGAAAAAACTAAACAGAATTCCTCATTATCGTTAATTCCTTTATCCATTTTGCACATTTGTGAATTTATGAAATTGAAATTTAGTATTATAAAGCTGACTAGACATACTGTGTGCTGTCACAAGGCCCTTGAGCCCCTTGATTTAGAGTAACTGAGCTGAAGTCAGTGGAGCAAACACTCAGCGAAAGAAGAATCGTCCTACTGCTCAAGACCTCTGCCTGTCAAACCATATTTTCATATCCTTATTTTCATTTCATTTTGAGCAGTTGCTGCTTGACTGTTAGTAGCTACTTCTATTTTGTTTCCTCTGTGTTATGCTTTGCAACTATTCTGCATAATCTATTTAAATAAAAAAAGAAGAAGGAAAAAGATTAAGACAGATGAAAGAGGTACTTGCATAGTAGAAGTGGCCTGTACCCACGGAAGAGCAGAGGCAGTGGTAGCTAGGGTCCACATCGTTGCAATGAACCGGTCTCTTTCTTTGTTATTTGACTGTTGAATATGACTGCTGAAGTCAGCTGCAGTAACGAGAGCCTGTGCCACCAGGCAGGACTGCAGAGCTTTCATTGCAGACAGGTTTTTCAGCTGCAGAGTGTCTATTT